CAGCAATTTTTTGTTACAAGCTTCACGCGCCTGTTCGTTTGAAAATATCTATAAAGATAATCGTATCTAGTAACTATGAATCCTGCGGAAACTTTCCCGCGAAACGATATCGCGATGATTCTGGAGAAACTTATTATAGTAGAGTTTAACACTAGAACTACCAAAGTGGTAAAAATGACCGATTTATAATTTTTGTTAGATACTTTATGGACGTAAAACAGTGTATTTTTAAGGATTTAAATAATTTTTCGTAAAATATACAAATAAAAGTCTGTACAGTCCATTGTATCATAAAGTTTCTCTATTTTTTGGATTTCAATGCCTCTTGATGAATAATGCCTCTTTATGCCTTAATCGTCGGCAGTTCTAGTGTTAATAAACGACCGTGAAGTCGTGAATAACATCCTTATCAACAACGCGTATAATACGTATTTACGTACATATGATCGTATGTTCGATCGTATTTTTTTCCAGAAATTTTCCTTTTGATTTGTTCGACAAGGTTCCCGACAGTGCGAGCTACAATTACAAGGCACGACATCATAACCAGCTACGTTTTACAATCGCTAAGAAACACACGCTTTTTATTCTCTCTTTCTCTGCACAGGCTCTCAGAAGCACAAATGTTAGACGCGTAACAACCAACAAGTAAACACAGATCCGACGAGGTTAGGTAATGGTATTAAAGCTTTAAATAGGATCATGTGGTAGGACGATGAAATGACGAAGACTTATCGCTGGTTGAGGAATAAATCAACAATTTAATGTACATGTTTGAATTCGTTCAAATATGTATACTCATATTCATAAATTTCTCGTCATTCGCTTTCATTCTGTTCGATGATCACGTTTCGGAGCAGAGAAATGTTCACTTCGCGCCACGAGGCTTTGGCCAATGAAGAATGAAATAAAACTGGACCGTACATTAATTGGTGGTTCGATCGCAAATAACTGAAAGTTCTCTTTTCGTTGTTTCCTATACTCCACCCGTGCTTTCACAGAGTTTCATTTGATCCGTACGAGAGAAAAAATGCTTCCAGTTGCGTCGATTTTTCCCTCTGTTATCCAATAAATTCCCCCTCAATACTGGCATCCTATCGATACAAATTCGTATCGGTAGTTAGGCTCTTTTCTAGCCACTTGTTAGTCGAAAATTAAATCGGCTTTATATGTTGGAATGGGCGACTCGCACACACCGAAATTCATTGAACCGTCAAGGTTCGATCTCGAGCGGTATCCTCTGGCAAAATTCCCTTTAGGTAGATATTTCAGAGGCCATCGAGTATGTGTACACTGTGGAAAGAATAATAAATGGTGTTGGATTCGTACGTTGGAAAGATATTTATTTATGTTGGAGAGATACGTGAAGAACTACTTTTTTTTTTAGAAATTGCTTAAATTAAGTGAAGTGTTTTAAGTGTTCAAGTGCTCGTTGATACGTTGTGCCAGCGTTAAATATAAAAATATACAGGAGTTGCTGATTTTTATGAATTCGATAGATACGACGTTGTATGTTTTATAGAAAATATATTTAACATCTATTTATTCTTCTTCTTCGTAAATATTCGCTCTTCTCTCACCCAGGGAAAATTCGTGTACTAACTATTATTCACTAAATTATTTACTATTAGTCACTAAATTATTTACCAATATATCGAGGGAAAATATACTAATTAGGAGTGTTCGCAGTTCGAAGCCTAATGTTCAAACCAAATACCGTCATAATTGATGCCACGAGTGTGACTCTGTTTCAAAACTTCCTACACCAGAGGAATCGAATTGCTTGAAAAATTCAGAACTAAAACGTACCTCTGTAAGTACTTTATAAATACATTACCATGCACAATGAGTACATTTTTTCTGAAAGAACCGTGACTAAAGGTTTCGGAGGTGCTACTGGCGCGGACAGAGGGGTCTATTGAAGTTACGCGTAGGTGTCGGCATATCGCGAAACAGGCGTCGAATGTGCGGTCGGGTAATTGCAGTGGGCGCTTAGGCTTCGAGCCTGACGACGACGACGACGACGAGTGCAGCCAGTCGAGGACACACCTACTGACCTACACACGTAGGAAGAGAGCGCCACTGCTCGTTTGCGGCTCTCTGCGTGTCTCGGGTTTATTTGCGTTTCATTGTAATCGGAGTTCATTCTCCTTTTGCTCTCTTTCGCGCCTCGTCTCTGCTCGCCTCGCGTGCCAATGAATGAACCGTATATAACATGCGCAAACGTGCAATTCTGCGCCGATCGGCTTCACTGAGACGATCCATCCACCACGAGGCGATTTTCGTTCGCGATATTTTATTATTTACAGCGTGACGAAATCGCGGCGAAATTCAGTCCAAGTTTCGATCGGTTTCGTCTTCGACGGTTAGTCGAGAAGTTCTGGAGAGAACAGGTTTCGCGCTACTCCGACAGTTAACATCGACACGGAATTCACGGACATCCGTATATAATCGTTTTTCGCTAGAAGAGCCGGCGTCGGCTTTGTTCCTTGGCGCCAGTAGCTTTATCTGTTGTGTTGTTTTCGTTGCTTTATCTGCAAGCGTCGGAGTAATTGGCGTGTTATGTTGAATGTATGCAATATTTAGTATGCCGGCACTCTCTAAGGTCAAGTTTCCGCGGATCGATGCTCGTCACTTCGTCGCTTGTAATGTTATAACGTTTGGTTAAGTGGGGTGCCTCCAATCACTTAATTTGCTTGTACGCGAATTAAATTTAATTGTTCAGGTAGAACCTGTCGTGCTCTTAATGAGAAAGGCCGTTTTATTTACATCAGTGAAATTTTGATGTCCAGCCAAGTACAAGAATTACAGTTCCTGTTCTTATCGAATATCTTCGTTGTTTCTGGAGATATGGAAACATTTTATGAACAAAAATTATTCGATTTAGACGGGACTATAATATGGTAGTAATAATTTTTTTTTGCAGCTAATGGGCTTTCGGGGATTTCACCTTCGTTTTTTAATGTAATTATAATGAGTATTTTTTAATGCATCAAGCGATACAACTCGATATTTTCTATAAAAAAAAAAAAAATGTATTAACCTATGTATGTTGAAAAATTATTGCTGTAGGCGAGATATTTTAACTTCAATTTTGCAAAATTTATCGTATAAAAAAACGTGGAAAAATGGCAAATCGCATTCTTTCGTATTATCCTTGTATATATGCAATAGACTTTATAAAATTAAAGTTAAAGTAATAATTTTCCAGTATATATAACTTGATACTTTCTTTTTATAGAAAACGTAAATCTGTATTGATTAATGCATAAAAAAATTGTGTAGTTTTTTATCTAAAAGAATAGAGAAATCTGGAAACTACGAGATTCCACGAAACTGAAAAAAAACCATAAAACTGAAATCTCTGAAATTTCATCAGCTACAGAAAGATTATTATTACATACTGAACGATTTTTGTTAATAAAATTTTTTCATACTCCCAAAAGCAACTTGGAGATATCCAAGTGCTAATTCTTGGACCACCCTGTATATTTCTTGTCTACTAGTTGAATTCATTTATCTAAAAGTAAACTTCTTATTATACGAACGAGAAATGGCAGATAGTGAAGGAGATTAGTGAGCTCGCATTATACGAACTTCAATTATTTGTCTAAAAAGCAGAGTCGTGCAGAATTGCAATTGAATTACATTATATTCAATGATATTACAATTTTTAATTCGGTTCTTTCATTCAGTTAAATTAATATTGAGTTACACAGTCCATACAGGTGCACAGTGGTGTATTTGCTGATCTAGGTGGAAAGCACGATCGCTTGAAAACGATCTTTTTTATACTCCTCGATGATTACATGAAATTTTAATCACGCGATTTTTGGCCAGCCAGGTCGACCGAATGCTCCACTGTGCGACGCGACGCGTAAAGATTGTCCATCGAGAATGCATCGATCACGATCTATGATCCAATTCGAACCTCACAGTGCCAAACTTTGGAAAGCAAAGCTATCTCTCCGTTCGAAGAGATTCGAGAGAACTCGTCGAGAGGTGTCGAGTTGACGCTCACTGTTTAACTTTTCAACCGTTCATTTGTCAACTGACAGTCGGTTCTATTTTAATCGAATATTCCGTTTGGAACGAGTCCCGATCGCGAGCGCCCTTAAAATTGTCAAGTTTGCTCGCGATAAGATTAAAAGAATTTACGAGAGCAATCTTGACCCTTGGCACTTCGGTTCGCGTCTTTCATACGCGTTGGCGCGTCACGACCTCGTGTCGTGTCGTTCCGCCGCTTTGAAAAATAGTTTCGCGCTAGCTTCGTTCCGCTCTTCCTTGTCACTGCTCGCTTTTGCCTATTATGTGTCTGTTATCCACGATAACGCTCGAGTTCGCAACCTTCCTACGGACAGACAGACCCTTCTTTTTTTTTTGTTTCTGCCTTTTCAAGCCGGTGATTTCCTTTTTCTACGTTTTTATGCCTTCCGCTCGTGGAACGTGGTAGAAAAAAAAAAAAAAAACGAGGGAAGCGACTCGATACGGCTCCTTGAATTTGCACTTCAAACAATTATTTCGCCCTCGTGAGATAATAGGGAGGCAGGCTCATTGTCCATTGCTTTACGTTGAATGTGTACTCTTTTACTTCCTTTTTTTCATTTTTTTTTTGAATAAAGTATTTTGGATAATCAACTTCTAATGTATACTTCATCAGATATATTATAGATACATATAGATTATAATATATATATATGTGCATAACATATATTAATTTAAAATTTTAAAAAGAGGAAACTGTAATTTGCTACTTGATAAGTATCTGATAGATTAATTTATAATCTTCCAAGAGGGAAGAGGGAAGATGGGAAAAGGTGAAATTTCGAAACAGATATTACGTCGCAATCTTTTCGTAATTCTTTAAGTAAAGAGTAATAGGGTTGATAGTCTATTGCATTTCCTCGAATTGCAGTCGTAACGAGTTCTTTTAATTTACGTCATATTACATAAGCTTCAGGATTATATAATATTTAAATTTCTTACATTTTCTGTTGCAGGTTCTGCATCTGTAGAACAAAAAAATGGAAACGGTAGCACGAAGAACAACAAAACGAATAACAATGGGATCGAGGTGAACAGAAATGAGGAACAAAATGGTTCTGGCGAGCTCAAGAGCCAAGCCAAGAAGAAGCCAAATGCACCTGGAAGTGGCCCTCTGTTGCAACAAGCGTACGTTTCGACTTCAGTTTCTGCCAATATCTTTCGGTTATCATGCTCGATTTACAACGAGTCGTATATAAATATTCGTATCTTCTCAGTTAGTGATTGAATATGTATGATACTTTTTGAGATAAAATATTATCAGGTGTTTATTGATAGAAATATATAGATGTGATACAATAATTAAGCATTTGGACAATATAAATTGATGTATCGATTGTTTTCCATCAATTTATTGAACTTTGAACATCAAACGAAAATTACTAAAATGATTTCTTGAATTTTCGTCGCCTAAGTCTAATCTTCAAAGTTGAATAAAATAGCAGTAAAAATTCGTGCAATAAGATGTATGTCATTGTAAAGATTTTAACTCATTATAGATCCAATTATGAAAAAAATTTTTCAATGTTCTTGAATTATCATGTCTACTATGGCAATTTGTAGCATTTTCGAAGAGAAAAGTATCTTTAATTTTCAGAAAAATTTAACTAAATGAATGTTACGTAATGTAAGTATATTTTAGAATAAAATGAACGATGCATTTTGAAAATGGAACTTTCAAATGTTAAAATGAGATTGTATGATAATTATTTATTTTCTTTTAACGAAATTTCACCAGTCATATTGTACGAGTATGAGCATTATTTTTGTAAGAATTACTAACCAAATTTACACTTAATTGTTGTTCGTGATAATAAAACTAAAAATGTTTAAATGCTTAATTATTAATAATACCTGATAATATTTTATCTCAAAAAAGCATATTTAAACACTTTAGCGACTCGCTGTATGTTACATAATACATTATTCATATTCACCAAATTGCTACTACAAATAGAACGTATAGCATCGCTTTAAAGTGACCATGGAATAACTTATACCTAACTATAATTTTCTCTGCGTGTAAAGTGTTCCTATGAATGACATAATTAATTATTTTTCATTCTGAATTTTGCAGAGAGATATCCACCAGCCAACTTGACTTCTTCAAGATGCTCGATGAAAAAATTGAGAATGTAAGTCGCTTCTTCCCGAATATATATTAATACTAAAATTTTAATACTAATATTTTAATACTAAAACTTTTCCCCAAAGTTTTAGTCACTTCTTCCGGAATATATATTAATACTAATATTTTAATACTAAAGCTTTTCCCTATACATTAATACTAAAAATTTCCCTTAGAAATTGTATATTTCTATTCATTTTGTCTTTATGTAACACTTTTAACATTTTTAATCCACGAAATGCTTTATTAGTTGTGACATTTTTGTATGCTTCGTTATATTTCTTCATGTGATTGATCGTGTGATGAAATTTCCGGCTTATAAAACGATCAGGATCAACCTCGAATTACGTGGTGTATTCTGTATCACGTCGACAATATGTATTAGAATCAGGGCATATAAAATAGATGTACCCTTAAGGCTTCGTCAACCTTGCGGTAACCTCGGCGCAATAATAATATTAATTCGTGTGCTGCTGTGGTCGATTGGTCAGTTCGTTGAATGTTTTATTATCGATTGTGGGATATGAACTGCTCGATGTTTTGTTTAGCTACACATTTGCGTTTGTTTTAAAGATGTTCACTTCTTGTTCTTTTTCTCCTTCTTATATACTGTTATAATGTAATCTCAATTTCTGGTATCCCGCATGAATAATATTATTTAAGACGAAATATTTTAAATTTAATATTTAATAACGATGCGATATTTTCAGGGACCAGACTATGACGAGAGTCTTGACACAACTACCAGAGCCGAACGTGTGTCAAACCTCCTCCGTCAATGGGAGCTAGCAAGCGTGACCTGGTCGAGCGTGTCCGATCTGAACAATGCATCCCCATCGGTGATGAAGAATCGTAATTCAGGATTGAACTCATCCCGGCAAAGTCTAAGCGCGAAAGATAGAGAGGGAATGAGGAACATAGTCGGTGGTAGACCGGAGAGCGCACCAATTTACATGAGAAACGCAAATCGCGTAGATGGTCTCCAAGAGACTCACTGCCCATCGCCAAGTATGCCGAGGCACGTGTTAGAGTCCATCACTCAGAGTCCAACCCAGAGCTTAAAAAACGTCACGCCGCCTGGCTCCTCTCCAACGAGCCTGCATTATCAAGATAGTTATAAGGAATGTAACGCTAATCAACCATCCGCAAAGACCGTAAAGGTTCATTATGGTGCTCAGAATCCTGTGAATGGAGAATACGTGACACAACAAGCGCTCTATCGCGAACAGTATTTGCAACAAACCGGGATAATCACGGTACCCTCTCAATATTCGGCCAGTTCGCCGGGTGGCAATGTTCTTAGAAACAATCCATACGTGCAACAATACCAAATCACCAGTCCGCAACACTTTACCACCTCGAGGAAACGAGGCTTCAACGCCGCCCAAATGACGTGACCGGATTGGCCGTGCACTACCAAATAAGACTGACACAACACTTACTTATGTAGACACACTTTGCGAATGAAGAGAAAGAACGACGAGCAGGACTCAATAGAGATCTCTCTCGGATTCTTTGTCGAGGAAAAAATTTATTCGCATGAACAGTAAAGAAGGAGAGAGAGCCTATCGAGGCTAGAGACTGACCAACAGACGGAGGATATACTACGGATGTTTCTCTACATGTTCCTAATGATATCGTACATATTTTTCGTTGTAATTGGTGAATATTGAGCAAGCAGGAACCATCCAATAAAAATCACGAGTGATAATATTTCAGTGTTGGCCTAAATGATTCAGTAATCTATTCAAGGAAGGAAATAAACAAGGAATAGCATCATTTCTGCATAAATTCTTCTACAGTCTATAAAATTGTAAGTGCCAAAATGCTGTAATCAAACAGCAATCTAAGTGTCATGGAAAAAATTGAGAAAGAGAGGAGAAAGCGCGCGTACGAGAGAGAGAGAGAGAGAGAGAGAGAGAGAGAGAGAGAGAGAGAGAGAGAGAGAAAGACATATTATCCGTTGAACCAATACTCCGTTCTTTGTAATTCATGTAAATGAAACTTTTTCGATGTATATATATGTTTATATTATATATACACACATATATTTTCATTCATCCATGTTTCATTTTCTTTTTTAATCGGTAGCGTCTTTACGTACTATTGGTAAATGTAAATTTCTATAAGGGAAAAAGAAACAAAATAAAAAAAATATATATATATATATAAAAGAACCACACACGCAAGCGCGAATTTCGCTACAGCGTTTTGTATAATTGTGTATTAGCATATTCCGAGATATATATACATCGTATGTACATGTGTATACATTTATACATGTGTCTAAATTGACGGAAAAAAGAGCAAAATGTAGAAGAAAAAAAATAACAAACGTAGGGATCTTACTTATATCGTGTATAGATTCACTGTATGTATTGTATGGATACATTTAACTTAATGTAATAATTGTATATTTATATGTTGACCATGTTCAAAGTTAACGATATATATAGTTGATGATGAGAGTTTTATATTTCATGTTACAAATATGCTCTATATTGTGAAATACACTATTCGAAATCGCTGCATCATCGTCAAACTCGGATAATTATATTTTGTTCCGTTGAGCAATTCTTTTTTTGTTTTTTTATAAATAAATTCATAACTTTTCCCCAAGAATTCATGTAGAACTCATTCGTAAGATTTTAGTATCTTTTGAGGAAACTCAAAATATATTTTAATATGTATGTTTAAACAAATCAAGACTACTAATTATATATAATGTGGTTTGTTTCTGTAAAACCTTAGAAACTTATTTATTGAGAACATAAAAAAAAAAGAAAAATGAAATGTTGGTTGATTTATATTGATTTGTGTGTAAAATGTGAAGTAAGATTTTTAATTCTTCAAAACTATTGACAAGCAGTTCATGTATAATCTGATTTAACACTTGACTAACAAGATTTCATTGTTCTGAAACCTCTGTGCTACAAAATCTAAAGGTATTTATGTTACAACATGAATATCTTGTGTATGAAAATCTTGTTTATAACATAAACGTGATGCAGTTTTAATTTGGCTCAAGTTAAAAACTTAGATTTAGATAGTAGGTATGCATACAAATTTTACATTCGATTGCATTCAAATACATTCTAACTGGTAATTTAAAAAATTTGATTTTACATACTTTTTCTTTAGTAAAGGGTGTTTTCTTTAGTGAAGCGTCCTAATTAAATGGAATTGCGTTTAAATTTATTTGAAATGTAATGTAATTTCTATATTTTAGTTTGAAAAGTAAAAATATTTTGTGAAAATTAATTTAAAAATCCATAGACATTGAGTTGCAATTGCGATTTAATCCGGGAACAATTTTATGTGGAATTGATATATTTTATGTACTTTCATAAGTAGTGGTTAGTAAATAGTACATAAAGTATGTGACTAAAACCAATATTGAAAAATACAAAATAAGAAGCTTAACTTTCTTAATTGTATTATCATTGACTAAGGACAGAATACACCTACATAACATACATTGCTTTTGTGTTCTCTATGTTTTGGATTGTTTTTTGTGCCCTATCTGATCCCTTTACTATTGGTTACAAAGTATATATGACCTTACATTTTATAGGCTTTCGCATCATCATTGTGCTTTGAAATCGACATGGTAAAAGATCATTGGCTACTTAGAGCATTCTATGCTTAAAAGATGGTGAAACTAGACCAAGCAAAACGATTGTTGATTAAATAGTGAATGCATCATAGCATTGACTAATTAAGATAAATCGAATATCTAAATGTTTTTCATGTCCCACTATATCTCAGATTTTGGAAGTCACCTGACCTTAACATTTTCGTGTCACATTTTGTCGTATCGATTTAAGCAGACATTGCATTGTAGCGCTACTGGCGATAGGAATTACAATTAAAATAAAAAAGTATGAACAGTGTAATAGTTTGAATTAAAACTGAATTTTCCTATGAAATAAGGTATAAAACAGGGATATTTTATGATAATTTTATGCAAGACCTTTAACTAATAATGATACGTTATGATCTTAATGTTTTTCGTTATAATACACTGCATAAATAATTTTTCATTTTTTAAACTATTAATTGAACGAATATGATCTTTTTTTAGTCTTACTTATGGAAATTAAATAATAATTTTTTAAATGCATTAGGATACTTTTACTACCTAAAAGTTACAAATCAATTGTTATTTTTCAATTTTTTAAATAAAATACTTTCGAAGATAAAAAATATTTTATTATTTGAAATTAATTTTATAACTTTTTAAGCTTTCAACATACAATTTATTTAAAAGTTGGTGCTCGAATTAATCACGTATGTATTAAATTTTACATTATATTAATTCATATTGTAATTTATGTATTTTTTCATATTGTATTTTAATATAATTTTTAATGAATTGTGGAAAACGTATGAGTAAGTATAAGGGATGGAAAGAAGTCTCAAGAAGGGATGACAGAGGGACAAAAGGAGTATAATCGTCCGTTTTATTCACCAACATTTTGAGCTATCTAGCCCTGTTTGCTGTAATACTTTTGGCCAATAGATACTTTATATTTAAGAATGTATTAGATCTATCGAAAACAATCAAACATTCCTTCCGAGGGACTTTTCCTTATCTCGGCACAATATGTATCTCTTAGCACAGTAAGTATATATGTACATTCGGGAGACAATTAATGTTGATATAGAAGCAAAAGTAAAAAAATGGCTTCAAGACATAAGACAGCTTTCAGAGAAAATAGTTATATCTGATATCTTCAGATACATCTATGAAATACATGTTTGGAAATTAAATATACATATTAGTTCTCTCTCTTTTGGTCGAATATTCTATTTCTCAGATCTCCTTCCGGAACGAATCTTGGATATGGATATGGGAATTGGTTTTGAAAGACGGACGAAAGCATTTGGTATTGTCGATTGACAAATCTCAATGTTTACGCAGAACCGGGCAATTTGGGATAAAAGATAAAAAATAACAATGTGAGAGATTGTTTCGAAAAACACAAATTCTTGGTCGAAATTTTGAAAGAATAGATAGGAATGGGAGAGGATTTCAAATATGAAATTTTAGCTTTGGGTTTTTATTACTTTTCGAAATATTAATAAAAGATTTTTTGGTGCAGTATATTAAATTCTGTCTATAGAGATGTTACTAATACAACGGTCAACGATGAACATTGAGAGCTTATATAATACACTTTGTAAAGTGTATGATACGTTATGATATACATATGTTTACAATTACAATTATGCAACTAATTTTATCAATTGGCAACTTAAAATAACTTTGACTATATAAAGACTTTACAACGACTAGATGTAGGGGACGCGTTCCTCTAGTCTTTGGTCGTACAGCCAGGCCTATTATTTCATAAACTGATCATGTATTAGACTCCGTATAGTACATTATAAACCAACCATGTATTTGGTTCTGCATAGCGGAACATTTGATCTCTCGCTTACAATTAAATTACAAACTAAGCCTAGAACCAGAACTACAAGCCAAACCCACAATTAAATTAATACTACAATGATATCGGCCTCAGTATCTATTTAGTCAGTACTATAAGTCAAAAATTATTCTCAGTATCTATTTAGTCAGTAGTATAAGTCAAAAATTATCCTACTTTATTCTACTATTTTTTATTTCATTCTACTTTATTCTACTTTATTCTATTTTATTCTATTTTATTTTGCTTTATTCTACTGTACTTCACTTTACTCCACTTTACTTCCCTTTACTACATTTTATTTCCCTTTACTTCTTTTCTTCTGTTTATTCCCCTTTATTCCTCTTTACTTTCCTTTACTCTCTTTTATCGCACTCTTCCACACTTTACTCTATTTTTTACTTCACTTTACTCCAATTTCTATTTCACTTTATTCCCTTTTACTTCCCTTTGCTACTCAAAAAACGCGGTATATACCTCGTCTTAGACTACTTCTATATTCATATATCTCCTCTGTGACCTCGCCTGTGTCTATAATGATTACATATGTATATGAATAGACCTCGCATACACTATTGCTGTGTCTTCTCGTTTGACACGTGACACATATTTCTATCCTTGTCGCACACTGGTGCAATCCTTGATACTATGGCTATACTTAGATCTATGTTTTTCAGGAAGATGTAGGATGATGGTCAAGGTAGGACAAGGTCAAAATAGGGTTATAAATGATAGAAGTAGGTAGAATGCCTCAGAGTCGCCACCAGACTTATCAGTGGCATTATTGGCAACGACAGCTACGATCGGTTTGTTAGAAACTTCTAGGATGAGCATGGATAGTCACTCATCCTACAGGTGATAAACGCACGCTAAACGCTTAACCTGCAGATCGCACCTGATGGTAAGCTAAGTGACATACACTTACAGCTTGTGGTGTTGGTATCTTGAAAACTAGTATACTAAATAGGGACTGAATGTGTTAGTCGTTACACCAATTGCAAATTTTCGAAACTTTTTCAAAACAAAGTCTGTTTACACCAAAAATATGTAAATAAACATCAGAAACCAAAACAAACAATCAAAAAAATGTAAATAAATATTGAAAACCAAAATAAACAAACCAATGCTTGCAAACAAAGCGAAAATTTAAAGTTTTCGAAATTCCGACTGGAAATTTTCGAAAACTTTTCAAAATAAAGTGTGTTTACGACAGAAGAATGTAAATAAACATTGGAAACCAAAACAAACAATCAAAAAAATGTAAATAAACATTGAAAACCAAATAAACAAACCAATGTTTGCAAGCAGAGCGAAATTTTAAAGTTTCAGAAATTCCGACTGGAAATTTTCGAAAACTTTTCAAAATAAAGTGTGTTTACGACAGAAGAA